AGTACGTGTATGCGCAGGAGTATAAAATATAGGCACTTTAGTACATGTAATACCAATAATAGGCACAGTTTATTTTAGGTAGCACTGTGTGTTACAGACTCTTGTAGGTACTAGAACAACAAAAAGTCTGTTCACAATACATTTTGCCATGGTAGGGCAAGTTCTGCCTCGGTCTCTTGTTCTTTACTTATGTGCGGCGCATGTTACTGAAGCAGTGCTGTTTGAAGTAAGGTTGGCTTGCGCTCTTGTGATCATAGCCAATTTCTTAAATAGGATACCTATCTTGTGCTCCCATCTTTCAGTTATGAAGTAAGGTAGAGCTTTCCTGATAAGCACCTCTTTATTTGATCAAGGTACAAGTTGAGAGAGCAGAGCAGGAGACTGAACAAAAACTTTGGGGTGAGCAGGAGCGATATTACCAGTAATTTTCCTGCAGACATCTTCAAGTTGTTTGGCCTGTAACCCTGTCGTAAATAGCTTGAAGATGATACACTTACTCAGAAATGTCAGCATCCTGTAATAGCTGGTTTCGCAGCTAGGTAGGTGGCAAGTATCTTACTTTTTTAACGGTGGAGTTTTTAATTTCGATAAATAATTTTGTGATCTTAAGAAGTGGCACGTTATCTGTGCAATGTGCTCTTTTTGTCTCTCACTGAAAATCTCTCCAGGTATGTAACAATCTAATTCTGGTCTGTCGGATTATGAGGCACCTGTCATTAAAGCTGGTTCGAAGCTGGAGGTTGGAAGGCAGCTGGAAGCTGAGAGCGAGCGTGGTAGCAGCTAGAAAAGGTGGTGGTGATTTCAGTAGAAGGTCTTTGGTGTGGTGGTTTTGTTTTGTTTTTATTCAGTCAGTACTGAATCAGCGCTATTATACAATGTGCTGTTGGAGGTGCTCTGATCTGGCTGGAATGTTAAACTGAGAAGTTCACTCGCCTGATGAGCATTCATTTGAAAAGACAGAGGTAATGTTTGGGGTTAGTTTGATCCTTGTCTTAGTAAGGGGGGCAATTTCAGTGATACTAATGTGGTTTAGCGCTGAACCCTCTCGATGTGACATTTATTATTGCTATACTTTAAGCTTGATACAGATCAAATCTGAAATTATCTGTAGTTAGTGTTTGAAGAATAACATTGAGTGCGAGAAGGCTGTTTAGATTTCTGGTTATGTTTTTAACATCTGAAGTGACAGCAAATGTAGAAAATCCTTTGTTAGTCATAATCAGGAAGTCATCTAGCTCTTAGTGTTTGTGGCCTCTGTCAGGCAATAGCAGGCCTTCTCTGTTTAAATTGAAAAATGAACACTTTATAATCTGTATTAAATATGTTAGAATTTTTGTATGTTGTGCCACTACTGTCAGCTCTGCTAGAACTTCCGGACAACAACCTGATGGAATTTAACTAGGGATTTTATTAGGTTGTTTTGTTTGGGGTTTTTAGTTATTTTTTGTATGTTATCAGGTTATTCTAGGTGCCAGTAGAACTGTTTCTTTAATACAGTATTCTAGCCTGCGATCACCAATATTTAATGGTGTTTAAGCTAAGAAAATTGGATATTATTACAAAAACAGTCTACTGCCACATGGAGCTTTGGTTTTGCAGGGAGCATGCTTGCTTGTCAATAAGCTTGGATTTGTTCAGCTTCCCAGTAAGCTTGGAAATCCAAAGGAAGGTTGACAAATTCTGTAGTTTTTTCATGATTGCTATTATTTTCAGATATGTTTCAGATGTACAAGACAAACCTTTTTTCTTTAATTCAGTGTTCTGATAGGTTATTTCTGCCTTCTCTGTTAGAGTTCGGAGTATGACTCTGAAGTCCTGAAAATCCTTGTGGGTTTTTTGACAAAGGACAGAGAATACTCCGAGTTGAGAAATTATTATTGTCAGTAAAGAATTGGACTGACACCTCATTTGACTTCTACAAAAAGCTCTGCCGAATGACAAAATGACAAAAATTTTCTCAGGTGAAAGCTGGTGAAAATCTCTGGGTTGTCTAAATTTGAAGCAGTGCATCTCATGACCATCTTCTTGCTGTCGGTGTTTCAGTACCTCAGTAGTCAGTGTTATCTGCATACCTGTGGTTAGGATAAGTTTTTTTTGTTGTTGTTGTTCAGTTCCCTGTGCTTTGGCTGTGATGAGACTGGTTATTTTTTTTTAATAAATTATTATTTTACTTTTTTAGTGACTCTCATGCTTTGGCTTCTCTCCAGCCATCCTGCTAGCGCTTCTGGCTGGCAGGATTGCCTGTTGCTGTGCAGTGAACTGGGTTGAGGTACCGGTCTGGCCATGAACTGTGTTAGAGCAAGTCGCACGAATGTTGTTGCTAGCACAGCAGAGAGGCTGGGATGAAAAAGGGGAGTGAAAGGGTAGCGAGAGCGCTGTTTGGGCACTGCCGCTCTTCAGTGCGTAACCACAGCCAGTCGGGCCTTCTCAGCTGCTTGTTGGCGTGCCTGACAATTCTGTGCTCTGCTTTCAAAAAGAAAATTTTGAGTCTGTTTATGGATTTCAGAAAGTCTGGAAGCACTGTGCCAAACCAGAAACTTTGAGTTTAGAGCAGACTTTCCCTGCCTTTTGCCAGGCTTCTTAGGCACAAGAATGTGGATCAGAAATTCAAGTTCTGTGTGATGAGAGAGCTGCAAGCTTCAGCTGTTGTGTTGGTACTGCAGCTCTGCTCTGGTATCACCCTGTGTTTGGATAGTTCTGATCTTTCCTGTCTTGTCCATGTAATGTGACACAATATCTTCAGCTTCTGCACGAATCATGTTTTTTAGAGAAGATCTGTACCGTGGTTTCAGGCATTGGTACCTATAAAAAGGTTGAGAGCTCTACTGGTTTCACTTCTCTTGTCCTTTCTTAAGAAGGATCTCGTTTGTTTAGCTGACCCTAAACTTGGAGGGGTAAGCCTTTCCCATGCCAATGGAAGCCCCACAGTTTAAGACAATCTACGGGGGGAAAAAAGGCATTTTCCAGCTCTAAAAAGGCAACTGTTAATTCTTAGGGTTGGTTATTTGTTACAGCAATTCTATTACTGCCTTACCTTTGCAGACATTTATCAAGTATGTTGTCTGATGTGATTGGAGAACGCTAAAACTGCAGCGTATTTATATTTGTCTATAAAGCACATGCATCTTTTCCACATTTGTAAAGAGCCGTGCAAAGTGGATCTTCCTTGATAAGTCAGAAGTTGCTCCTTAATATCCATACAGATTATTTGCAGTTAAAAGCCTTATTGTCCTTCGTGAAAGGTATTGTATGATTTCCATCTTTTCAAGAATGAATCTGCCTTGAGATGAAAGTCTAAAGCAACAGACTTGCTTTAAGTGTAGAGGACAACTAAGCTGTAACGTATTTACAATATGAATGCGTATTTAATGGTTTTTAAAGAACTCTTCCAAGCATGCTGATCAAATTGGGAGTTGAAATTTATCTCACAGTGTATTATTAGTGTTGGCTGTATTCCTTTGATGTTGGCTAATTCCTTTTGAACAGAAAAATGGTCCATCTGTGCAGAACATAAAACCCAGTGCAAACTCCTGGCTTTAAAAATTAACACATTTTCAATATTAAAATATAAGATAATCTGAAATTAGTTTCTGCTAAAACAACATAACTGCACATATAAACAAGCACTGGCTTTATAGTTCCTTGTGAGTTTGTAAGGAAATTTACTTTCAGTTAATGGGAAAAAAGTCAATGAGAATGATCGCTTTACTTTGACAGTAAAGTGAGTTCAGCTCTGCTTATTGTGCTTTTAACTATGTATCCACGTTGTGCAGTAGGATTGCAAATGAACAGCAAAAAAGTACCCAACCACTTCCACGTATTGTCCCGACTCCCAGCCTTCGTAGTGTAGCAAAGCAAAACAAAAAAGCACCCAACCAAACACTCCTGAAGTTCTCGGCAGCCTGAAATGTTTCTAGAAACTGAGAATGTTGTTTGAGTGATTGAGGGGTGTCTGGTAGCTGCTTCATGAGCTACAGAGTGGTATCAGAAGGTGTTCTGCTCCAAAATATGGACGTGTCGCTGCAGTGTTAAAACACCTGCTGACGTTTAACTTTTTGGTTAAATGATTAAACATTTGGGGGTTTAAGAAATCTTTCAAGAAAGTTCTGCTCAATTGAGCAAAAATAATGTAATGTTGAAAATCATGGGTAGTAGGACTCCAAATCTGAAGCCAGTTAATACTCGCTTTTTTTGATGTCTTCATAGATGTGAATTTTAGCATTTCAAAACTGGATGTGCTTCTGGTCCTGTTTATCATTCTTGTTATAGCAGCAGACTTTCTCCAGTCATGAGCTGACAGTCCTGTTTGGCATTCTGATCGAAGTAGTTTAAGCTCTCGCCTTCTGTATGTTACCGAACCAATGTATTTCTGGAAATTTTTTTAGACTTCCTAACAGGTTAATTTTTTTCCCCTCTTTCTTTCTGAGTTTTTTAGATACTTTTTTTTTTAAGAACTATGAGGGAGGGATGTTTTCATTTAAGACTGTGCTTTAACAGCAGAGTTGATGATTAGTTTTGGAGTTTTAAGAACAGATTACCATGGGAAATTCTAATTTCTAGAGTACAAACATTTTTGCACTGACTGGGTATTGAAGTTGTTTCTTAGTGGAATAATTAATATTTTGGGCTGTTGTGTGCTGTTTTCTTCATCAGTCTTTAGGCTCATTCTGTGTAGTTATTTCTATGCTTGTCTTAACAACAGTATCAACTTGAATAACACTGGAATTTTACTCTTCTTTGTGCATGCAAAAGAAAGCTGGAAGATCTCATTTGAAATTCAGTTGCTTGACTGTTTACTTCCACTTCTTTCTTTCCATTCTGAAGTTGGTTGGCAGAGCAATGGAAGAAGCTGGGTCTCAGGAGATGGGCATGAATAACCAGGACCAGCTGGTGAACAGCAAGTGCAATGAGTTGTCCGATGCAGCGCTGCAGCACGCCCAGTCCAACTGTTTTGGCCTGGGAAACGCGGGCGCGTTGGAAGAAGCCGAGCATGTCGCGAAGAACAGAAAGCACCCGGGGTCCAAGTGCTGCTCTCAGGAGTCTCGTGAGGAGACTCCCGGGAGAGAAGAAGCCCGCACTGATCCACCCGATGGCCAACAGGATCCAGAGGGTGAAAAACACAAAGAGAAAACATTGGGTATGTTGTCTTCGGCATTTTGATTTTTAAATGGCTTTAATATTTTTGTATTAATGTATATTTTGTATTAATATTTTGTATTTTGTATGCATTTTCTCTGTCTTTGTCTCAAGTTTACTTTGTAGCCAGAATTTGTAATCTTTAACAGGAAATTCTGAGAAAATGTGTACTTCTGCTTAGGAAAAGACAGTTCGTATTGCATATGTAAGAATCCTTCCACTGGTAACGCTATTTTTACAGGAACTTTAACAATAATAATAATGTGGTAATTACTAATCAGCTGTTTTAACTTGCCAGTTGTTGTATTAACTTCTGAATTTGGGATTGCAGTGTTCATTGCTATCAAAGCACTGCTGATATTTAAATTCCAAATGCTTATTAAAAACACTTGTGTGAATATCCTGTGTTAGCAGAACTTAACCTTTTAAATTTTGCTCTTTCAGACTTTTTTTTATCTGTGCTATTGTAAATTATAAAACAAAAATATGTTTGTGGTTTAAAGATTAAAATAATTTTTGCTATCCAACTTGTGTAATAGTGCATAGGCAAGACAAATTTATTTGTACTGTGATGACTTCCCATTTGTCATCTGTTAGGATTATGCAGCTATCAAATTGGAGAACAACTTAACTCACACTAATTTCTCATGGTTCTATATTTTACTTCTAAAGGCAGGCTGCTTTCCTAGTACGTTTTGTCTCAATACGGTTGTCTTTTATCCAATTCATAGGAAAAGAAGTGCTATTATTAATGCAAGCCTTGAACACACTTTCTACTCCAGAGGAAAAGCTGGCAGCTTTGTGCAAGAAGTATGCTGATCTGGTAAGTAATTTGTAAAGATAACAGGAGTTATTCATGTTTTAATATTAACTGTGGAATGCAGGAGCTTCTAATACAGGACAGTTAACAATTTTGAATGTTTCACAGTGTTGGTAGGGGAAAAAAAATGCTCAGGCTTGTTATGAGTATAGCTTCAGCCAAACGTGCATGTAGTCATTTCACTTCCACATGACTGCCTAAATCCGAAGAAAAAAGTAGGTTATGATAACTTTCTGATAACTTGGTGCTGAAGCATAAAATTAGGATTAACAGAAATGCTAAGAGTTTCTTTTGGGAGTAATTATTTTCTTATGTTTTGTCTGTTGATAGTGCTTTTGTGCTAGCATTTTATAATTTATACCCTTTAGGATAAAGGGAAAGAACATACTGTGATAACAAGATTGGAGAAAAAATAGTTCCGTTTTACTTAACTCTTTAATGATTTCGGGGGACTAGGGGAATTTGGCAAGATCTAGGTTTACTTTTGCTTTGTGCTTTCTGATCATGCAAAAGAATGGATAGAAATGTCTACATTTCTTAAGTATCAAATCAAAAAGGCAAAATGGTAGCAGTAGTTGAACATAAAGTGCATTCTTACCCCAAGTAGGATAAATGATAATTTATTCTCTAAATTAATTGAAGGCAAAATTGGGGGCAGAAAAAGGCTCATAAATCGACTTTTCAGAATGTGCCTGGAGACAAAAATGCTTCACTTGCTCATCTTGAGACAGGGACAGACAAGAATGGAAAGAGTAGAAATATTGTATATATATGTTTTCCCTCCATATTTGTAGATACAAAATGAATACATAGCTGAATAACTTGAAAAAAAAAAAAAACCACAGAATTTGCCTTCTGTGGATATCAAGTGTATTACATTTTAAAATGTTTCTGAAAATTACATAATGGGCTGCCCAACATGGCATAACTCTTCTGAAATAAATTCCTTTTTCCTTTGAGATTAATAACATCTTTAGAGCTTTTGAGGATGAGCTAGCAGGTAGACTTTTTACTTACAGAAGTAATAGTACGAATAGACTCGGGATTTCCTAAACAGAACTAACCTGTCTCCTCTCTGGAGGTCTGCTACTTTTTTGCGTGTTTTCCTTGCTCTTTCTCACACGCCCACTCTAGTTCACATGAGTGAATTTCCTTCAAAACCAGCAGCTTGTTGAAGAAGTCACTTTCTTTTAAATGAGAAATAGTACTACTTCCATAGCACAACTCAAGGATGGAGATCCCACCTTAAAAATGAGCTTTGATATCGTGAGAGAAAAATGCAGTAAATGGGTTAGTTCCTAGGAGCAGTTGCTTGTGTATGTGATGCCTTTTCTATCCATGCAAACAGCTCCCATGTCAGATCACAGTGGTGATGATGGTGGCATGCATGAAGAGCTAGGTTGGTATGATTCCTCACTTCTGCAGAAAGAAAACAGTCTGTACCATCTTCACTTGAGTTTCCTTGTTGAAGGAAAGATCTCAAAACAATTAGGTAACAGCTAGACCAAATGAATTGTAATTTCCTTCAAGAAGCTTTGCAGTCAGGAGAGATGTGTTCATGTTATGTTTTTTCCCCCTCCCAGAAGTGAATCCATAGCCTATAGGTAAAGTAAGTGTTTACAGTCCACAGATAGTCACCATCCTAGAAAACCAGTTATTTTCCTCATGATGCTCAGGAGTGCTGGGAAGTTGGGTGGGAGCTCGTCCAGGTGTAATGGTAGCTCTGTTTTAGCTGAATGACTCTCAGAGGTACTCTGTGCCCTTCTTAAAATTTAGGTGGATCTGGTGGTTTTCCTTGTAAGATGCATTCTTTTCTTCATGATAGTGGTGGTGAACCACTGGCATAGTTGTCAGCTTTAGTGCCAGCAGAGGTTTGAACTGTTTATGACAGTGCACCTACAATGCTTTTTTTCTTTTTTTAAAGATTCATCATCTTTAAAGCTCACTGTCAGGTTTTTCAGTGGTGTCTCATGAAAAGGACTGTACAATAAAGGTAGGAATGCCTCTCTCCTGGCAAAAGATCTTCCACAATTTTTTTTTCCTAAGTTGGAATCTATCAGGAGATCAATTTGTGATGCAGGAAGGTTTGCATCCTTGTCTCACACTGGCATACTTTTAGAGGCCTGAAGTTTCATAGGTATGCAAACAGCACAGCCACTTGAAGTGTTTTTTTCTGGCCACCCAAGAAAAGGGCTTTTTGTGTCTGGATATCAAAATATTTCCGTAACGTTCCTTTTCTCTAAACTAGATTAAATATACATTTAATTGACTGTTGTCATGGAGGTCCTTAACTTTATTTAGTCTTTCTTCTGTGCTTCAGCATTATTTTGAGCCCTTTCAGAAAACCAGCATTGTGTTCTTCTCTGTCATGGTGATGTTCCTTGTTGCCAGCCTTCTTTTCTTGTGGTGTCCTGAGGCTGAGGCATTACCTCATAAGGAGCAGTGTTACACTTAACAATGTTACCTTCTTTACAATAGCATAGATTCTAAAGAACGTGGTTTCTCAGGGAGCCCAAAATCATGTAGAATGGAACTTACTCTGAACTAGATACTAATGCAAGAAACTCGTATTCACTGGATATTCATAGACTAGATTTTGAAGTCAGCACTGTACACGAAGTTTAACGCTGTCATCTACCATTTAAACAGCCTAAAGGAAATTGAATAAAAATTTTGCTTCAAGTGGTTGAGACTGCAGATCTCTTAAGTCATCAAAGTCTGGGCTGTGCAGCTTTAATAGTATTGGACTTGATTTTTCAGGGTTGCTAGTTATATCTGTTCCTTTCTGCAATACCTTAACATTTTAAAAACTCGTATCAATTACTGCTTCCTTTGGTAGGAGCTCCTGCTGACAAGAAGGACCTCTGTATGCTGTCCTGTGGGTTTTTCTTTTTGATAGAAAAAAAAAAAGACCTGTTGGATAAACAGCTGTGTGTACCTTAGAGATAAGAGAGTGGAAAAAGTTGTGACTTACTGAAAAAGCCAGTCTCAGTTGGCTTTTAATTGTATCTGCCACATCCTCCTTTCTCAGGGCTAGTCCTACCCCTGTAGCTGAATACAAGCTGATAGCCCGTGGTCAACAGGTCCATGGTCCCTGTCCCTTAAAGGCAAATGTTTAAGTTGGAATTTGTATATTTTTGTCTTCTGTTCTAACACATTTAGAATTGTCTGTAGGATGATGGGAGTTTCTCTTAAAGATCAACTTGGGGCTCTTAATGAAATTATTTCACATCCTTGCTTTCATCTGAAATGTCTAAAAATTTGCTTGGTCTGGTCATCTAGATGCATAAAGATAGTTTCACCTATGTCTGTTTAATAAATACACTCTCTAATGTTAGTTGGAGGAGAGCCGGAATGTTCAGAAGCAGATGAAGATACTGCAGAAGAAGCAAGCACAAGTTGTGAAGGAGAAAGTCCACTTGCAGAGTGAGCATAGCAAGGCCATTTTGGCACGTAGCAAACTGGAATCTCTCTGTCGGGAGCTTCAGCGTCATAACAAGACTTTGAAGGTTGGTTTATTTACCTAAATTACAGTGCCAGTGGTGGTGGAAATCATACTGACTACTGCTGAAATCATCCTGATCAGGACTGCTGCTTTTTACTTTCCACTTTGTCCATTATCTGTACCTGCAGAAGATGAGTGGCGTGTGACATAAGTGTACCTGATTTTATGGTAAAGAGTGTGGGAGCACCTCAACTCACCACATTTTTTCCCCTCAAACTGGTTCATAGATCATGTTATTTGCAGTATATGATCTTGCTGTATTTGTTTCTGGGAGCAGTGCTGGTGGCTGCTGGAAAAAAATAGCACAAGTGAAATAACAGCAGCATGAAATGGCAGGGTATCAAAAAAGGCTTAATTCTGTCAGAATATAATGGATGGGAGTAAAATGGAAGAGAGCCAAGAGATTCTTATCTGTGATCACTGTAAGAAATTTCATTATAGTATCAATGCGGTTTTTAACATCTGTGTAATTCTTACACTTGCAAAGGTATTAATGTAGCATCTTGTAATAATATCAGCCTCTGAGTAATGCTGGTAGTGGTAAGGACAAGATTCTTTAAAAGTTACGGAGTTTCTGGATTCTTCATTCTGTGCACTTCTGATGGATAGTCAGCATACCATGCTATGACTGGCTTACATTAACTCTCTCACTCTAGAACTTGAAACTGTAGAGAAGTGAATTATTACCATTGTTTCAGACTCAAAAATATGAAGAACATGCATGGTTTGGCTTGAACGTGTTAATATTCTCTCATAAAAGGAAGAAAACATGCAGCAAGCGCGTGAAGAAGAAGAAAGGCGGAAAGAAGCAACTGCGCATTTCCAGATTACGCTGAATGAAATTCAGGCTCAACTGGAACAGCATGACATACATAATGCCAAGCTCCGTCAGGAAAACATTGAACTGGGGGAAAAACTGAAGAAACTCATTGAGCAGTACGCATTGCGAGAAGAGGTGCTTACATTATGCTTCTAGTGAGATTCTGTTAGTTTTGTGACTGTAAGGATCAGATAATTTAAAGGGGAGAAAAAAAAAATCCCTAATACTTTGCAGCCATTTTGTGTGTATATATATAGTGTGCATATATATATATATATTAAACTTTTTACTTCACTACTGTGAAAAATCAAGTAGCTGTTTGGCTCACTAGCTGCCTTTGCTGTCAGGTTTTGCATATGTAAATTCAAGGTGCATTGAAAAAAGTCTTTCACAGTGAAAGCAGAGAAATAGAAGTAAGTTGTCCAGAGATTGTGAGATCTCTGTCTTTAGAGGTATTCAGAACTCGACTGGGCAGGGTCTGAACAACCTGGTCAGACTTTGAAGCTGTTTTGGGTGGACTGGATGGCTTCCAAAGGTTATTTCCAACGTAAATATGTATTAATATTTGAAGTTATTCTAAATTACAATTTTGTGTTATAATGAGAGTGGATTAGAAGAGTTATTGTCTCTCTTACTTGTTCTGGTTCATTAAGATTGGGGTTTTTGGGGAAAGCTGCTTTGTGTATGTAGCTCTTCTTGTTGGCTTAGAATCAAAGCTATCACACTTTAAGAATATATTTGGACTGGTGTTGTAGAAATGACTGTATTATAAGGCTAACTGAGCTAGCTGTAATTGGCACCAGTATGTGAGCTAGCCAGTCTAAGCTACAGCACTGGAAAACAGCCAATTCTCCTTGTCAAAGAGAGAACTAAGCTTCAAGGAGTTCTACAGCTAAGATGAGTTACTTAGTTGGCATAGGAGGTTTGGAATATAATTTCTCAACTGTTTTTGTTCTTGTTAAAAAAAAAAATCTGGATCAGTTAGAAAGCTCTCTGTAGACTCCAGTTCCCCACCTTCTGCACTTGTGGAATATCTGTATCTACCATGAGAATTTGGGGAGAGAAAAGGTAGGCACCTACCTTGTGCTACTTTACAGGTGGAAGTAAGACTGGAAAATTCAATGATCTGTGGGATTTCATTAGCCAAATGAACTATTGTTGCAAACCTTGCTTGTTTTGAGCTTTTTTAAATTGTGAGGGCTCAAGCTTTTAGATGTAACAAAATACACTGAGGATTCATACATACATTCATACATAGCAGATAAAACTAACACCAGAGG